AAGATTTGATATGCTGAAATTGTTCTGTAGGTTTGGGAGCAGTATCCGTCAGCATTCGAATTCAACGATTTTTACCTGCGTTTTCTTGCCTATCACTCCACCTCGGCATGCTTTCGTACGTTTCTGCTTGACTCGGAGGCGGAACGAATCAAGTTTGATTCAATTGCTTTATCGGCCGGAGAACCGCGTACTGCATCAATATGGACATATATTGATGAGAAACGCATTGGGTACACTTAATCTTTGATTTACAACGTGTCAGGTGATTGCTTGCTGAGCTGCGAAGAATGCATACACCACAAGATTTGTTTCAGGTCACCCTTATTTGATAATTTTCTATTTGTTGCGGAATTACACACAGTTTTACGACCTCAGTCAAGTATTGCGAGCATTACGCTGTGGTCTTTATATTGCGAGGATCACTTGGCGCATGGTGCACCTTATGATATAGGTCGAGCTTTTCCCAAAAATTTGACTTTTTAGGATAAATTTTATGCTTATTTTCATGTAACCTGCTGAGTGCTTTTCCTGGAAATGCCAATTCAACCTTGTTCAGTACGGTTCAAACAATTCCTGAATCATTTCACGCTGTACAATAAATAATAGTATTTCAGAAATAGCAGAAATGGAACAGCAACAAAGAGAAGACGAACGGCAGGAATCTTTGGCTGAAGTTGGAGCGCCAGGTTCCATGTCGAGGAGATTACTGGATACGAACTACCGCTGTACACATCTTCTTCTTTTAGACTCCTTCTCGTCTCTGGTTGAGGTTAATCTTTAAATTTTTGCATAGGTGCGCTCGTCGATGTATTTTGCAACTGTCTGTATTTTTTCCTGTGCTCTAATTTGGTTTTGTAGAGTTATTCGCGATTACGTCCGCTTTTAGTTGGTGATGATGAAAAGGCAGTGGAATCGTGGCATATGCTTATCGCTGCTGCAAATGAACGTGCAGCGCAAATCCTATGTTTCCAGGTGCTAATTATGGGAATTTTAAAGACGCTTAACGCCTTTCACTAATGAATTCCGTTTTCGCATGAAAAAAAAATACGTATTAGACAGCCTTACATTTGGTTTTATTGCTGAACTTTCTAATGTTCTGTTTTGAGAATGACGAAGAAGATGTCAGTGCGGTAAGCATTTGGCACCGTTATGTGCAAAGAGCGGTTCATAAAAAGGAAACTGTCAAGTTACTGCTGCACGGTGTATCACGTCAACAGAGCGCATCACGGTTGAGGGATAGCACCGCAAGCGCGTAAGTTTTTAGCGTTTTTCTCGTTAAAATAACAGTTGTTGGAGCTGTATCATAGTGGTCCTAAGCATGAATTTTTACAGTGCGAAAGATCCAAATTGTAGAGGGGTTGTTTTGTTTTTTGAGTTTTGCAGCCCTTTTAACAATGATGGGATTTCAGAAGTTCGGGACATCACTTTGTATCACAACCAGTGACGCCAGGTGATGCTTGTGCCGTATGTCATCAGAATGTGCCGGGTGTTGTTGTGCGCACAGGTATTGCTGAATTTTTATTGTTATTGTTATTATTATTACTGTTATTGTTATTATTATTACTATACATTAGCTTTCTTGTGTTTTATTTGATCATAGCTGTGTTTTTCAGTTCATCGTTGTTTGGGATGTGGCATGGTTTGTCATGAAAAATGTTCGGCTTTAGTGATTTCCACATGTCCAAACAATATTGAGGAAAAACGATTAGCAGTTGCTGCCAAATGCGATATTCCACCTGCATCGAAGCGAGCTGCAACTTATTCAGGTTAGTTCTTTTTTTTTTACTAAACATCCTATTTTTGGTCATATCATTTTATACAAAAAGCACGCATTGCAAATATTAATGGTGGTAGAAGCTGTGATGAGCACGCAGTAAAATAAAGCAAACTGGGTCAGTTTGCAGTATTCATTTCTTCATTGTTGCTTGCTTTTTTTTTTTT